CGCTTCAGTGGCATATTTGCAGTGGGCACCCCCTCTAATATTCATGGTACTGCAATAAGCTATCGCTGTGCAAAGTTTGGTGCTTTTGTCAACTCTGTAACGATCCTGACCCTAAGAGACCTAACTACTATACATGTCATATACTTCGTTCTTTATCCACCAACCCCAGCTAAGCCTTCTTAATTCGAATCAGCCATTCTTGTTTTACAGTATTCGGCGACTTCAGGACTGCCACCGAAGACTAAGAACATTTTTACACCTAGTCCATCGCCAATTTATTTCACTGGGGACTATGGACGGCGAACATAGCTAGGTCGGTTGCGGGTGCAATTAAATCTGACCTAGACACCGAAAAATGGTCATATATGGTTAAACCTGATTGCTTTAACTTACTAGCACCTAAATTTCTTCTTTCGTGGTCTCTATCTAATTGCCCAAAAAGTACTTCATTTTAAAAGAACTTTTAAATATTAATTAATAATGACGATGTAATAAAAAGGAGAACTGGTCAATAAGTACAGGATTCGAACAGGTTTTTGGATTTAAACTTGAACACTTTTTGCTATTTTTTCTTAAGTTCAACTAAGGAAAAATCAATGTCGGGCGAATCCACATGTAATAGACGTTCTTTAATGCTCATGGACCCAAACAACAACACTATAAATGTAATATACTTCGTTCTTTAATCCACAAATCCCAACAAAGCTGTTGAATACGAAGCAACCATTGCAATTTTATTAAAATTTTTGGCGACTAACGGACTGCTCACCACGGTAGCAGTACACTTTCACGTACCTAGTCCATTTTAAAATTTGCAACGCTTGGAATGTGGTCAACTTTCACTTTGTGAAAAAAGAATATTAAGAGCGGTTTTCTGTAAGGACCGACTAAGGGTATGCAAGATAGAAAAATCCGATTTTCCCAAACTTTGCCAGAAAGAAGGCCTTGGTGAACTGTTTCTAAAAATATAACTTTCGTGTCGTTTGGGGTTTTACTTATTTTTTAGTGAATTTTTTAAATTTTGGCCGTTAACGCCGGCTTTAATCACGCCGAAATATGCACTTTTGCAGAAGCTCCTATTAATACCTTAAAACCTTTCTTAAAAAGATTAACCAAGCAAATCAAACTATCTTCTTTCCTCAGATTATCGGTGTCGTCAAATGCAAATAAAATGTAAACGTGAAAATTTGACAGATTTTCTAATTTTACACCTTTCAATGGTGATTACAACAACAGTATTTTGGCTAAATTCAAGGCCTAAAAAAGCACTCTGGTACATCGCTTTGACCAACAAAACTATACTACGAGGAAACATTATCATTTCAACTAAACATCGATGAAAAAAAAATTGGGGTAAATGAAACGGCGAGTTCTGAGAGCGATTTCAAAACAGGTCATTTTATCAATTATGAGTGACCTTTGACCTTTCATATTCATGGCAAATTAAACGCCATGAGCTCTGGCTTTTGTTTGCGTGATGACGTTTTTTTGGCTCTACCAGTTTGTTTTTACTTAGAAATACTTGCCTTTTAAATTTTGAGCCATGCAATTAATTTGGAATAGTAAAATTGGAAATTAGAGACAGTTTGCTCAGACATGTCAGTTTTGTCTACCGCCGACTCTGTAGTACCAGTCTATTGATACAACACAAATGCGGCAACAAATGCGAGGTAAATCAATGTGCGAGGTACTTGACTAATATGTCTTATCTCAGCGATACTTTCTTGGATAGAAAGAACGGCATTCATTGAAGTTCCTGACAAAAATCGCCGAGCGCATATATCACCTGAACGTGCAACATGACCAAGTATTGAATGCCACAGGACACCCAGGATTGGATATGGTCGCGGAGAGGTCGGTACATCTTTGGTAGTTCAATTTTTTTTTGTTTTGGACTGATAAAAAATCTTTTTTCCTGGATTATCGAGTTGTTCTCCGTAAATTGAGAAGAGCCCGCATTCCGAAGAGGCAGCACTGGCTTACTTCTTTGTCTTTAATTGCACCTGTTAATTTGTACAGTGCAGTTTATTCATTGACTTCATTCAATCATTGTGTACTTGCAAATGGCTTCGTGTGAGTATGGGCAGATTGCAGGAGGAACATGTGGTTCTAGTGTGGACAATCCAGAAAATGTGAAGAGCGTGATCCTCGCCAAGTGTACAAAAGCCATACAAGGGCATCTACGTTCTTGCAACATTCGAGACGCTAGTTTAGACTCTGAACCAAAGCTGTTGTTGGCACGTGCAGGTACGTAAGGTAGATGTCTGTATTAAACAGGCCATCTTTAAAAAAAGAACAAGAAAGAATAGACGCATAATTTACAGAAAGGAAAATAAACGCCTCCCAATCTTTTTACATCAAGAAGAATCGGTGTGAGACTAAAACAAAATGTAATTTAGCTGCATCGTGATCTGATTCAGACTGTTTTTATATTTTGAAAGGTGTCCGCAAATTTCTCGAAGTATCACTAGTTTTCCTACGTCTGCAGCGGGTAGATTTTAATTATCGTCCATAATTTACACACTAAATAAAACTGGACGATGTTCAAGGTTTAGTTACAAGGGTAACGCGGAAAATGACTTGAAAGGAAGGCTTAATGAAGCGTGACGCTCAGCACCTGCTTTGATTGTTTAATGTCGTGTACTTCTCATTTTACTGCATTTCATATACAATTTTTACCCCGTTAATTAAGGGCCATGATTGCAACTTACAACGCTAAAATATTTTTAGACATATTCCTAAAACACATAGCGTGTTATTCAAGAATGAATTTTACTGACAAAGATATGAGTGATAATTAACCCGTGCAGTAGCCGACTTAATCAAATTAAGGTGGCTCGATACAGTTTTTCAGGGTCAATACCTCCCAAGTTTGAGCATAAACTACGTCACCAAAAGCAAAGTTTTGGAAAAATTGCCACCACAGTTGTTTTAGATAAAGATGAAAATTTGTTTTGATCAGGGTTGCAACGGCATCGGAGTTGTCATAGCAACGAAATGACGCTATTACCTATTTTACTTGCAGCAGTATATCTCGGCACTGGGAACTGTTCTTCGAAAATCATTTACAGGAGCTTTTTCCTCCAAAAGCAGCCTCGATGTTCGTGAAGTTTAAGCGACATCTGTAAGAGCGTTATCGAGATATTTTGGGATAAAGTTTTTATTGTTAGAAACACAGTAAAAAACGGACAATATTGTTGTTTGGCCGTTATCTGTTGAAAATGAAGCGCTTTCAACAAGAAATTTCACCTCATAGTAGTTTCAATCTTTTTAAAAGCGTGTGTGAAAGATCATGGGAGATAGCTCCAGCCGATTGCTAGAAAGAAGGGTTTGATTAGTAAGTATCGAAGCGCTCTTGTTAGCGGTTTTGTAAACATTTTGGTCTACTTTAACAAATCAGCGAATAATTTTTAAACCGCTCGATAGATTGTTTTAAAAATTTAAGATTCTTGAGATTAACCTTCCTTTTATATGACCTTTTAGTTTCAAGATTATTGATATATTGTAAGGCGGTAAAATAAGGGCTACAATTCGTTACTTTTTTGTCGGAAGTTTCGTCATTACAAGTGAAAGCCTCTAATTATTCAAGGCATTGTCTCCAAGTTTCATTTTCACGTGAACAGCAGTAACTAACAATGCATTTGAAATATGCAAAAATGCTAGCTATTGTTGCGCACGAAAATATGAAACTTGGACACAATACCCTGAATAATGAGAGTCTCACACTTGTAAACACAATCTTTCTGCCAAAATATTAGCGAATTGTAGCCCTTATTTCACTGCCTTACAATATATCAATAATCTCGAAACTAAAAGGTCATATAAAAGGAAGGTTAATCTCAAGAATCTTAATTTTTTAAAAAATCTATCGAGCGGTTTAAAAATTATTCGCTAATTTGTTAAAGTAGACCAAAATGTTCAAAAAACCGCTAACAAGAGCGCCTCGATACATACTAATCAAATCCTTCTTTCTAGCAATCGGCTGGCGCTATCTCCTTGATCTTTCACACACGTTTTTAAAAAGATTGAAACTACTATGAGGTGAAATTGCATGTCAAAAGCGCTTCGTTTTCTACAGATAACAGCCGAACACCAAGATTGTCCATTTTTTACCGTTTTTCTAACCACAAAATCTTTATCCCAAAATATTTCGATAACGCTCTTACAGATTTCGCTTAAACTTCACGAACGTCGAGGCTGCTATTGGAAAAAAAAGGTCCCGTGAATGATTTTCGAAGAACAGTTCCCAGTGCCGAGATATACTGCTGCAAGTGAAATATGTAATAGCGTCATTTCGTTGCTATGACAACTCCGATGCCGTTGCAACCCTGATCATAACAAATTTTCATCTTTATCTAATACAACTGTGGTGGCAATTTTTCCAAAACTTTGTTTATGGCGACGTAGTTTATGCTCAAACTTGGGAGGTACTGACCCTGAAAAACTGTATCGAGCCACCTTAAGATCAATATCAGAACATCTGAGCTGAGCCGAAACGCAAAAGTAAAAGCCTCCGTGTTTCTCAGTAAACACGCAAAATTTAAACTTATTCCTGATCATTAATACTTCAGTGCGTTGAGAAGTTTATTTTAAAAAAAATTATTAATATTGCCTACATTTATAAACCATCTCAGATTTATCGCGAGCATTACAGCCTTGTTTGTTTCACAGGAACTTTACAAAAGTGAGGAACAAAAACTGCTTTTGGGATGACTGGACGTCCAAAGAAAAATTAAAAGTAAAACTTTTGATTTATCTTTTGGTGCATAAATTAACGATAAACGTGGAAGAAGCGAATAAAATGTGAACGACGCTGTGATATATACGCTAAAAATTGTTAAGTAAAAGGCACCTTACAACCTTTTTTATCTTTGAAGGGATTTTTGATTTAAACGAAAGTCACCTTGAACTAACAATATGCCCAAGACATCGAGACAAATTTGGCATTAGATGGCGTTCAAATAAGAGGATATGCACTGCTCCCAGTGAATGGTCATCGCATGGAACTTTCAGGGGAGAGAGGAATATCGTCTCTACATTCCAAGCTACTCTACCAGCAAACCCAAGTGTTGCTTCCTGTAGGCTCCCGTGAGTGTTAAACCTGTAGTGATATTTTACAACATTGCCGGGTTTAGAGCGTAAAAAAATGGCAGTTTCAATTTCCTCCACTGCCAGTTTTTGTATTTTAAATTCATAATCGGATATACCCCCGCCCCCTAAAATCTTTAAATCAAGAAACGTGTTACCGAACAGTTTCAACACATAGCTGCAATATTTCAAAAACGAAGAGCATCATGAGCAAAAACAGAAGCTATAAGAGTTTGGCACAGATTTTCTGAGTAATGTTCTGCAATCCACTATTTTTTTTCAGAAATCTGCAAGCAATGCAGGAGAAAGTTGGAAGAAGCATCACAGTTATTAGTATTTCCCAGCTCAGAATCGACCACAGAAGCTTTAGGATCTAACGTAGACAAACCGGAAGAGCGGATATCACAAAATATCGCACAGGTAGATAGAGCTATATGGTATAGCTATGGCATGAACACAACAGATTATAACCTTGTCCGAGTGGCTTTTAATAGTTTAGTGAGGTTCAGCAAAAGGCGAGTTTTCCTCCCCTCCACTTTTGATGACCCCAGCCTCCTTGCATACTACTCCTTTAATTATATCATGTATTGATGCGAGAACACTTACATATCATTGCAGTGGTGATATGTACGCGGTTAAAAAAGTCATTCGCTCTACAGCGGCGACATCGAGTTTATATATTTTTCTGCGCTAACTAGTTCATTTTCCTTTCTAACGCGTACAGAGAGAAGATGTGGAGAGTAAAGAAGTTGAAGACAACGTTAGCCAGTCAATTCACCACCTGACCATAAGAGACGAATACTCTCATCCACAGCTTGACGAATCAGGACACTACTCCGAGATCGACACTAGCCTGTATCAAACGGACTCTCAAGCGAGCAGCAGCAGCGAGAGTTCTAACGGCGATGATCCACAAATTAGTAGTCAAGCAACAAGACGTTCTCTGTTGAACGATTTCTTACGTTCATGTAATGCTCACACAGTCGGGTCATACAAAAAGCGATGGGAGGCAGCCAGCGAACGTACTAGAGCAAGCCATGTGTCAAAGGCGAAGTCAGTTATTGTTTCTGGCCTTAACGTTATTGCTCCAGGAGACGCAGGCTACCTCTGGGAGGCCGTGAAAAAATCTGGCTCAGTCAAGAAGGTACTTGGCATCGGTGAACGACAAGAAGACCGAAAATATCTAAAGGCACTGGCGGAGTCTTACCAAAACGCATCTACCTGGGAAACAAGGCGTCGGATATTATCAATCATGGCAGACCTGATAACGTTTAAGCGTATCCTAAACTACATTCCAGGGATCACCGAATACCGGTTCAAAATGGCAAGACAGCACTCTCTTCAATATGGGCGGGGTGCCTTGCCAGCCCGGGCAAAAAGTCCTAGGATGAGAGTAGAAAATAAACAGTTGGATCACTTTTTGACTTATATAACTAGCCCGCACGTTATCCAGGATCTTCCTTTTGGGCAGCGATATCTCCGCCTATCTTCTGGAAAGATATTAGAAACCCCAAATGTCATTAGGGCGATGATCCCTAACAGGCTAGTAAAGCAGTACCAGGCTTATTGCGAGGAGACGAATTTCACTCCATTCAGCCCAACAACAATGTTAAGAGTCCTGTCTGCCTGCGGGGCGACCGTAAGGAAGTCCTTGCAAGGGCTCGAATACATTGCTTCGGATGGCGCGAAAGGGTTTGAAGCTTTGTGTGGAATAGTGGACCAACTTAAAGAGAGAGGTCTGGACAGAGAAACTGCCAAAAAATGGGAAGTGTCTCTGAGGGAAGGCAAGCAGTATCTGAAGGCTGATTATAAGGTATCAGATACGGTTTAAAACATGGTTAACTGAAAGTAAACCAGAATATATAACGAACTGCCACGAGACTGGCAAAATGGCAAAATCTGTTAACTTTGTCGTGAGGGCTTAATTAAATCGGGTGGGTTCTTTTCCAAACTAATTATACTATTGTTGGGCAAGAGAACACCGCTCTCTATACTGGCGACCGTCTTCGCCTTGCTAGGTGTGTACTTTATTCTGCCAAAGATTCATATTTTCTTATTGCTTTAACCAAACTTGGCAAAAATATTGCGCGTACAATAGATGAAAGCTCAGAAACTTCAAACGGTCACTAAATTTACTACTTTGTCTTTTTTGAAGATTCATGTATCCGAGTCCTCCTCGGTTGCAGACCATTGCAGCGGATACGCTCTCAGCGATAGTAAGGACGATGAACTAAGATCCCAATGCTCTCATAATCATGACATTCAGTGTTCACAGTGTGAAAGTCTCAGTAATGTTCTTTTTTCAATTAAAACATTCTTGACTGAGTCAACGTTTGTAGCTGAAGAACTAGAAGACGTCTTGTACACGCATAGTCATGCAGTCCAGGCAATCCACTCCTGGAAAGCACATCAACTCAGGTGTGTCAGGCAAGATACAGCAAGGACGGCGTGCTTGAGCGCTTTAGATGAGACCTCTGTACTCATAACACAAGATTGGGCTATGAAGTTTTTACCGCTCAAATATAGAGAAAACCAATCAGATTGGTACGGGAAACGAGGAATATCGTGGCATATAAGTGTCATCGCAAGAAAAATGAGAGGGCTTTTAGAAAGTCAGTCCTTCGTCCACATAGTTGAGAATACATCACAAGACAGCTCAGTTGTAGTGCGAATTATTGAGCACACCTTAAGGTCGCTGAAAGAGGAGAATCCTAGAATCAACAGAGCATTTCTACGGCAAGATAACGCGGGATGTTATCACAGTTCTGCTGTAATAGCATCATGCACCCTAATGAAGGCAAACACTGGGATAGACGTTTGCAGAGTAGATTTCAGTGACCCTCAAGGAGGCAAGGGGGCTTGTGACCGAAAAGCCGCGACTATCAAGGCCCATGTCCGCAGGTATGTAAATGAGGGCCACGACGTGCAAAATGCTGAACAGCTTCAAACAGCTATCCTGTCTAATGGTGGTGTCACCGGGGTTCGCGTTACTGTTGTTAATGCTGCCGTTTCTGCCTGTGAACTGCCTCAAGTCAAACTTGATGGTATCAGCACGTTAAACAACTTTGAGTACTGCAAAGACAAGTTGACAGTTTGGAGAGCTTTCAACGTCGGAAATGGAAGGGAGATCAGCCAAACGAAAGTTCAAGGTAAAAAAAAATACGGGCATAGTGATATATAAATGTACTGTATTGGAGTGTTGCAAATACTCACTGACTTAGTCAGCTAATAATTACGGATAACAGGCAATATTAACAGAGTATAAGAGAGTCTATACTAATGGCTACTATAGACAACTCAGTCAGTTGTGTACATGATAAATTAACAAACCTTTAAAAGACGCGAAAAACGTTTCATCTGAAATTAAAAAAGACTTGCTTTTTTAGTTGCTGATGTCTTGCAAAGCTGCAAATTTACTTGCCGATTTTCCCCTGGTGACTTTGTAAAAGCATCCAAGGAAGCCTCAAAGAAGCCAAGACCCAATGAAGCGATGACAGTAGAAGAAACGAAAGACGCTTCTGTCTTGTTCTCCTGCCCAAATGAAGGTTGCATCAAGGTATACGAGAGATACTCGAGTCTCGAAAGGCATATGTCGTTTGGCAAATGTGAGTTGATTCCGGAGAAAGAGACTTTGCTGGACAGGGCTAAATTAACGTACCACGCTATCCTTCAGGACGATATTGGCATTGCAAAAGTATTTGAAGGAAGGGAAACGGAGAAGAAGCACGGTGTCAGTTTACCTGAGGGTTGGGCGTTGAAAACTGCAAAGAAGTCGTCACGGTTTAACGAATCACAAAGAAAGTACCTGGAGGAAAAATTTGAGCTTGGACAGCAAACAGGCCACAAACAAAACCCTGAGAAAGTGGCGAGAGATATGCGTTTTGCAAAAAAAGCAGATGGTTCGAGGTTGTTCTCGAGTGATGAGTTTCTTACCTCGCAGCAGATACAGTCTTTCTTTTCAAGATTATCGTGCAAGTTGCGTCACGCTGTAGAGGTTAGCGAATCAGATTTACAAGCTTCTCAGGATGAACAAGAGTTTTGCGACACCCGCCAGGCTGTGTTAGAGGAAGTACAGCTACAACATCCCCTCGCTTATGACAACCTAAACCTTTGCGAATTGACCAAGAAAGGTAACACGAAAACACTCAGCATTGCAATGCTGAAGAACATATGCGAGTATTTTGATATCTGCACGGAAGAATTTAACCCAAGGCGCAAGGCAGAGTACCTTGCCGCGTTAGGGGATCTTGTAAAAGGGTGCGGCTGTAACACCTAAGAGTCAAATTACTGTTAACAGTTTGGATAACAGTTGTCAAGAGGGGCCGCATCTCGTTTTTGCGAGATGGTTGGAAAAAAATTGTCCCACCTAGTTTATTTTAGCTCGTCAGATTCATCACGTATAAAAAAAGCTTCAGTTCCAAATTTTTTTATTTACACGCTGACCTCTGTCTAAACTTGTACCTACTGGTGACCTCATACTTTTGCGCATTCCTAATTTTGCGCAATCCCCCCTCCCCCCATCGCTCCGCGGACCGTGTCGTCGGATTTTAAAATCTATTTTTTTGTTCGAAAATAATTGTATTATTACAATTACTACTTCTAAGCAAAGCGATAACTTGACTCGTATTATAATCACTTAAACTGACGATGTTTAATTATTATACGTAGAATTAACGGGAAGCGTTATGATCGTATAAGACTAAGAGCAGATGTGAGAGAAACATTGTTTATTTAACGAGCGCTTCCTAAATCTGCGCTCATCTACCCGATGTTAGATTTCCCCTTAATTCTTACAGGATTTTGCTGACAACGAAAGAAAGGAATCGTTCCATACAAGTTTTGTTTAACCCATTCGCCCCTGAACCGCCCGTATCCGCCCGTGCGGATCCAGGTCCTTTCTACCCTTTCTGACGTCATCAGTTTTAACGGTCAAGGACAACTTTCTTCGCTAACTTGTGCAGAGTGAAGAGATCTTTCAAACCATACCAGAATGAGCACAATTCAGTCAAGGACACCGGAGAAAGAAGCAAAAAACCACGTGACATTGACCTGAAAATCTCCATGAAAATCTTGTTCCATTGCTCACCTACCTTTTCTTTCACCTAATCCTAAGATCCTAAAAGCTTTCCTAAAAACTCTTCTCACCAAAATGAAGCCTACTAAATGCCCAGCAAGAGAAAAAAAAAATGAGGCAAGAAAAGCGAAAAAAGAAGGGAGGAGAGAAAGCGAAAAGTAAAAGTCAAGACTGCTGTGTCACTTTTAAACCCAAAAATGTCGAAATTTTGCTTTCTGCGCATGCCCGAACTTCGGAAGCTGATATTTTGCATCTGGATCAGAAGGCCATGAAGTGTACGACCTGTAAACCGGTTTGTGGTACGTTTTAGCTCTTTATAGCTCGACAGTGACCAGAAAACCACTCGACTAGCTTCAAAACCCGTTTTTCGGCAAAATCTCCAGGAGCGAATGGGTTAATTTGTCTTTGTGGGTCCGTAACCCGGGGGTTACTCGACCAATACTAGGGTATATGTGAGCCGCTGAGGATTTGAAACCCTGACCCTGTTTAGGAGAAACAAATTGCAAAATACATACTCTGTTTATGATATACCCTGTTTAGAACAGAGAGTTCAAAAACCATACCCGGTCCAGCGGCACATATAAGGGAGTACCCCCGGGGTCCGTTATTCCTGCGCGTCGTTTTTACCTTGAGTCCCAGAGACTTTATACCCAGCACTATTCAGGGTAAGTACGATTATTTAGGAGTTATCCTAACACTTAAGTATCTATTATAGAAATATCCCATGCCTTTTGTCAGTATAGTACAAAACACCCAATGTTGCTAAAAATATAATGAGACTACACTTGACTGGGTGTACTGTGGCGTTTCATGGTCAATTGTTTTTATGCAAATTGTGTTAGCGCGCGAGTTCGATGATCTCTTCAATTCGTACTTTTCTAATGAGTGCTGTGGTTTCGATCCAGGAAAAGATCTGTAAGGTAGGAAGTATTTTATAAGCAATTGGTGAATTGACTAACCTTGTAGCTGATCACCTATTTGTGTTGTAAGTACAAAGACAATCAATTTCTAATCACCGGTAAACAAACCGCAAACGCCTGAGCAAACTCATATTTTGACTTTCCAAATTCTCTTTTTTAGGGAATACAGTACCACAAATTGAAAAGACTAGTATCCTTAACTGGTAATATGCTAGAAATGAGGAAACAGGCTTCATCATGCAAAGGAAAATCGGAGTTAAAGAGCTCTGGGTTTCTATTTCCACTGATTTGGAACCGTTCCAAGTTCAAAAGGTCGCTCAAAAATGGCCCAGGTAACCCATTTTGAAAACGCTCTCAGAACTCGCCGTTTCATTTACCCCAATTTTTTTTTTCATCGATGTTTAGTTGAAATGATAATGTTTCCTCGTAGTATAGTTTTGTTGGTCAAAGCGATGTACCAGAGTGCTTTTTTAGGCCTTGAATCTAGCCAAAATACTGTTGTTGTAATCACCATTGAAAGGTGTAAAATTAGAAAATCTGCCAAATTTTCACGTTTACATTTTATTTGCATTTGACGACACCGATAATCTGAGAAAAGACGATAGTTTGATTTGCTTGGTTAATCTTTTTATGAAAGGTTTCAAGGTATTAATGGGTGCTTCTGCAAAAGTGCATATTTCGGCGTGATTAAAGCCGGCGTTAACGGCCAAAATTTAAAAAATTCACTAAAAAATAAGTAAAACCCCAAACGACACGAAAGTTATATTTTTAGAAACAGTTCATCAAGGCCTTCTTTCTGGCAAAGTTTGGGAAAATCGGATTTTTCTATCTTGCATACCCTTAGTCGGTCCTTACAGAAAACCGCTCTTAAATTCCCTGCCCAACGTAGCTACTTAATGTTAATTTGAAAATTGTAAAATCGACGCAGTTCAAACGAGTTTAACCGACGTTTCGGCAATGCTGCCTTCTTAGGGGGTACAAGACTAAATGAGACTATTTTTGTACCCTGAAAAAGACAGCATTGAAAATACGTCGGTTAAAACTCCTTTATTTGAACAGCGTCGATTTTACATCAACTTTCATTTTGGCCGAGCGCGACCTCGGCTTTAGTTTTGCAAAATTCAAGATGGCGGATCAATGTGCAGCTACCGAAGGTGAACTAAATTTCCATAAAAGATGCACTGAAGCGAGAGAAATCAAAATTTCAGCGGGGAATTTGGAACGCACATACCCTAAAGGATTTAGGCAAGACATTCCACGAACTGAATAAGCTGGCTGAGTCAGTTGTGAAAGGGAATTTTGGCGCGCTTCGCGAGCGCACCAATTACTACAGGATCGGCGAGATTATGTCCTATGCTTTAACGAAGCATGGATCGCGCAAAGACCGCAATTATTCACCGTCTTAGTCCAAAAATGAGCATAGTGCATCCGTGGATGATTTGCTTTGACCTTCCCATGCCTCATGAGGTCTTTGATCTCTTGAACAAGGAGATTCTTGGTCTGACAAGATTTGGGATAGATACACCAGGTTCAGTGACTATAACATTTTCAAACCTGAGAAGATTATCGTATCTCTACAACCAGTTCCAAGATTGTGGTGGGTTTAGAAAGCAACTTGGTAAAGGAAAAAGAGAGGCAAAGTTTATTGTGAACTCCGAGAAGAAGGAAACAATGGTCTACAATGCTAAAGAACAGATTTTGAGAGCAAAATTTTTTATGGATACTGGAATTCGTATGGGATTAGTCAGGATTAGTCAACAATGAATAGAGGATGCAAGGTTGAATCATACAGTAACAAGTATTTCCCTAATACCTCATTGACAAAAACCTGTCAACCTTTGTGCTTGGATGATAACAAAAAAGACAGAATGCCTACCATGGATCATTGCAATTATTCCTTATGTTTCACAATTTTTTTGAGAAATCCCGAAAATTGTAGAAATCCCAGTTTTTGCTGGGCACCCTTCTACCTCCTGTAACACTTGACTTAATTAATTTTAGCAAAAACTACGATTTCTCCAATTTTTGCAATTTTTGGAGAAATTGCAGAAATCACAGTTTTTGCTGGGCACCCTTGTACCTCCTCTAACACTTGTCATAACTAATTTTAGCAAAAACTGCAATTTCTCCAATTTTTCGCAATTCTTGGAGAAATTGCAGTTCTTGTTGGACACCCTTCTACCTCCAGTTGACTTAATTAATTTTAGCAAAAACTGCGATTTCTCCCATTTTTTTGCAATTTTTGGAGAAATCATAGAAATTGCAGAAGTCGCAGTTTTTGCTGGACACCCTTCTACCTCCTGTAACACTTGACTTAATTAATTTTAGCAAAAACAGCGATTTCTCCAATTTTTCACACTTTTTGGAGAAATCGCAGAAATTGCAGAAGTCGCAGTTTTTCCTGGACACCCTTCTACCTCCTGTACCACTTGACTTAATTAATCTTAGCAAAAACTGCGATTTCTCCAATTTTTCACAATTTTTGGAGGAATTGCAGAAATCGCAGTTTTTGCTCAACACCCTTGTACCTCCTGTAACACTTAACTTAATTCATCATAAGCTAGAGGCCCGATTTTATTGCTCACACCAGGGGACCCCTTTTCCATGGTAATGAACGAGCTTTGCAGTCAGGCGCTCAATGCGCGGGGGAGGGGGGTGAAAGTCGTTTCGGAGGGGATTGACTGTGATGGCACCTTTGATCTTTGGAATGTTTCTGAGGGGTGTAAGAAAAATTGGCTATTTCTGTGGGGGGAGGCAGGGGTACTGTGTCAGTACCTTTGATCTTTTTTTCTTTTCTTTTAGAACTCATCAGACACTCCGATCTTGCTTTCCAAACGCAACGTAAAGGCATTTCGGTCTGTGGTGTTTGATAAAGTTTGAAGCCTCTTTGACATCACCCAAATACAAGATTTTCCTGGTTATGAAGTTTCTCTTGAAAGTGCCATAACATGGATTATCAGGGAGTTCAGATTACATGGTGTGCAGAAAGAAATAATTGACCTAAGCCTCAAGCTTGATGGTAGGCCATTTGCAGGTGAGAACGCAATCTTTACTATGTATACAGTGTAACTTATTTCCAGATTTCTTTATTGTATTTTGCAACAACTGTGTTGCACTTAAGAAAGAAAAACATAGAAACAAAATCAACAGTGAAATTGGGTTAAAAATTATGACACCAAGGGACATACAATAGTGTCCAAATTATTTCTTAACTGTGACTGAAACAAGTTCATCCTAACGAAACCCTGTGATCTTTTATCATGGGTGTAGTCTTGGACTGAA